CTCGTCCTTTGGGCCCGATGCAGGCCAGCAGTGCTTCATCTTTGCGTACGCCCGTTCAATTTCGTTTTATACCCAGTACTAAGAATGGCATCGCAGGGATGGCGGCTGCGCGGGCCCCCGAGTTGGCCCTATCTTCTTCCCCGGTATCCCGATCTCTCGACCATCGGCATGAACGATGTGATCTCGTCCTTCTTGTAAGCAGTCTGGCATCGGGACACAGGTTATGATTTAACCCCTGGTTCATACAGCTGCACCTGGTAAATTGAATCCGCCGCGATAGCGCATTCAGACGTGGCGAATGTGCTTTTGAATGGGTCCATTGCGTGTTGTTTGATTCAGTTCTCTGCCAACCCCACACTCCTTCTCCGAATGCTTCTACGATTCCTATTGGTTCTAACTTCTACCCATCCTCTTGATACCGCGCGGATACTTAGTGTCGACAGTTGGAATATCAACGGTGCCTTTGATTTACACATTAGGCGGATGTGGGAATTTAGACATTCGCCCCACTGGCAAAGGATCTATGCCGGTCGAGACATGATCCCCGGGCCCTACGTTCGCCTTCAACGTCGCACCTTGGTTTTGAGTCGTCACCGTGGCCTACAACGATTTCCTCGGCTGCCTTGCCGTCCGGATTCAATTTCTTACCTGAACTCGTGGCCCAAGCTCAGTCAACTTTGTTTGTCTCGAATTAAGTGAGCATGATGCATCTTGTTCTTTCAACCCCAGTTCCTTTCTCATGAACGATACAGATATATGTACAGTCATTTCTCATGTCGATTCGTTTTCATCTTGATCCCCCACCCCCAAGTTCTTCATCTTTTTCGATCGTCCTACACCAGAAGCTACCCCAAAAATCAGCCTCATCACACAAACGCACACAAACGCCCTCTGTCAAAGAACATTATGCTCACCAAAGCAAGATGCCCCCCAACGACCGGCCTTGTGCGGAATCCGCTCGCCACGCCGCTCACGGTGTCGTACAGGTCCGAGAACGCGACGTTATTGAGCCCGTTCGCGAGGTAGTCCTTGAGCGAGGTGATGATCTGGTTGCGGAGGCCTGTGTCCGTCACGATCGACGCGGTCCAAATAGACCAGTCTGCGGCACGGTTAGTTTTTTTTTAGGGGAGGAACTCAGCGGGCCGCACCTGACTTGGTGTACGTGTGCCTACAGCGAGAGCAGGTGAGCCACGCCGTCAAGGAGAGGCAAAGCGAGTACGCACCGAGTGTCAAGCGGGATGCCGTACTCGTCTGGAGCAGGTTAGCTTTAGCATGTAGATATTTATGGAGTCGCAACTCACTGATGACAGTCTTGTACCACGCCGTTTCTGCGCATCCCCGTGGTTCAGCAAAAAAAAAACGAACACCGCAAAATGCACGCACGCATGTCGTACACCGATTGCGGGAAGAGCTTGAACCCGAGGTGCACGTCGCTGAACAGGTTGTACGCCTGCCGCACCTCCCCGTCAGCAATCCGCGCTCTCGGTAAACAAACACGGAATACGTACGAGGCCCCAGGTGCTCGCCTGCCCGTACTGCAGCGCAACCCATCCATCAGCTGCACATTCTAACGGTGGGAAGTCAGGGGGAGGGACCCACCGCAAGCGTCAAATGCGGGCCGGTCGTCGACTGGGCGAGGACCTGCCATTGCGATACATAGTCCGCCGCAATCGACTGCCATGTTCCGCGTCAGCGTGCGAGAAAAGGAGGGCAACACGGGCGGGCACGCACGCTATAATTTGCAGCCTTCGCTTTGTCCCCGAGAAGCGTGTAGATCTCCGCCATGCAGCGGATCCCGATGATGCCCTTGATCGCGAGATTCGTCTGGTTCGCGAGCTGCCCCGCAAAGTCGTCCGTGCTCAGCTGGTTCGCCGGGATGAGCGAGTCCTCGATGAGGAACTGCGTCCACTGGTCCAGGAGCGCGCGCTGTTCGTTCCGCATTAACACATACCCGTCCATCCGTCAGCATAACACATATCCCAAGGAAGAAGGGAGGGGAGGGGACGCACGTAGCGCTTGAGCTGCGAGTTGTCCCCCGTCGCCTGCGCGAAGGCGAGCGCCATAATGAGCATGTTACCGCTCTCTGCATCGCCCGCACGGTGAGCACACATTCATTCAGCGAGCTCGCTGCCGGCTTACCTTCCTATATTCGAGGCATGATGAAAATGGGGCGTTAGACGCGCAGGGAAGGCACACGTACCACCGGCATCGCCTCGTCCAGCCCGTCCCCGTGCCCTACAGCCTACAAAAAAGTCAACCAATCCGATCAGTCCACATCGCCGTCCGTTTGTTTGTTCAATGGAAAACCCACCTTCGGGTAGTGCGCGCCCATATCGTGCACGCTCCACCTGGAGGGGGGATGCGCGATCAGATACCCAGAACATACGAACACGAATAGAGATAAGGCATACGCACTTATTCGGATACAACCCAGAGGCCTGGTAGCGGAAGAGCGGCTCGAGGAGCGCCTGGCCGAAGTTGGGGAAGAGGTAGAGGAAGATGGGCATCGCGGGGAAGATCACGTCGACCGTGTTCGTGTTGCCGTCGCTCGAGATCTCTGTGCGTCCGCATCCCGTCCGTCAGCATCCAACCCAACCCACGTCGAAAACAACAACAACAAAAAAGAGAGAAGCGCAGAGGCGACAAGGGGATAACGCGATCCACAACGCACCCTTCATAAACAGCATCACATCGCTCGTATTCCACCTTCCATCCTTTCCCTTCGAGATCGTCAGCTCATTCGCGCCGACCGCCTGCCGGATCGACAGCGCCACGATCCCCGCGTAGTCCGCGCCCCCCGCCTTCCCCGCGTCCGCCACAACCTTCGCGTCGAGCGTCTTCGCGGTGCCGAGCGCGGTCGCGTAGTCTTTCAGGAAGAACGAGATCTGCCGTGGCATTACATTTAGCTGTACATAGCGGGAGAGGAGATGGGGGGACGCACGAGCTCTGCGGCGCTCTTGAAGCGGCTCCAGAAATACAAGCTCCTTGCCTGCGCCACGCCGCCCGCGAGCAGGTACTTGATCGCCGGCTCCCTCACATGCCCGATCGAGAACAGCATGCTCGCGCCGCTCGCGGAGACGCTGCCCAGGTCCTTCGCGAGCCCGAAGACGGGCCACGAGACGTCGATGGCACGGAACGCGGGGTCGCGCGTGTTCGCGAGCGCGCCGCTGCGCAGGAATTGGCCGCGCACAGTCACGTCCGAGCCCGTTTGGAAGGTCGCTTTTTTGTCCTGCGCGCGCCAGCACGTTAGTACGCAGAGGAAAGACGAAGATCGGAGGGACGCACGTTGAGCGTGGAGTAGTAGAACGAGCCGTCTGCACCACCACATCGTCAGCACCACGCACGGGAAACAACAGAGAATGGGAGAAGGGGAGGGGACGCACACTGCGTGTGGTCATTGACCTCCTCGTACAGCGCGGGGCTCACGAGGCGCACCTCGTGGCTCAGGATGTCGGACGTGGTGGTCTCCCACTGGATGTCCCACCCCGTCGCGCCGGAGACCCACTCCGCGGAGACGTCCGAGTAGATCTGCACGCTGTGCGCGGCGCCGTCGGTGGACGCCACGGAGACGTGCATGTACGAGAGCGGGATGGACATTTTGACGGGGTCGCTCTGCGCCGTAGAAGCATAAGTAGAGGGGAATGTGGGAAGGAAAAGCGCACCTCGATGGGGCTGAGGAAGGTGACGGTGAGGTCGACGGGCCCGGCGGAGAGCACGAAGATGCTCTGCGTTGCGGTGAACTGTGCACAGCGTTAGCGCGCACCGTGCGGCGTGACGCCGTGAGGGAAGGAAGGCGCACCTCGACGCTCTTCTGCGTCGCCTTGATGAACGGGATGTCGGGGACGGACGCCGCGCCAAGGAAGCTGTAGCTCTGTCCATCGACCTTCGCGAGCCCCGTCCACGCGGTGACCTGACCCGCCCAGAAGGACGGCCACGCATCGTTGAGCGCGACACCACCGCCCTGGGGCAGCCACGTGGAGAGGTACGGCGTGCGCACCGCGAGCGGGATCGACGGCGGGCTGAACGGCGTCGCGGTCCAGCTGGGCGCGCCGAGCGCGTGCAGCGCGTAGAGCGCCGTGCAGAGTATCTGGGCGCGCATCGAGGCGAAAGTTGTCGTGCGTGCGGGATTAAGACGCGTCTACCCTCCAGAAGGTGGCTTTTGTACGCCGCCTGCGCCGATATCAGATGTTCGTTGGCCGTCGACATCAGGCGGGGTGGATCAATGAAATCTGATGTGGGCAGCGCGGGGAGACCTCGGGACCTGCGTGCCATATGCGCGGGGTGTGCAGAGAGCCCCACGGGACGCGCTGATCGACCGGCGTATCAACACGCGTTTGTCGGCGTTGTTGGAATTGCGGAAGATTTTTGACAGAAAGAACTCGAGAACTCGGAGAAGGGCGGTGGGCGATGGGCGATTCCTAGGTGGCAAGACAAGCGGGTGCAATGTGGAATGACGCCATGTGCAGAGAACCAGAAAGAGCATCGGATTCTGACCAGAAGAACTTGGCAAGAAAAGTCTAGAACAGTGCGGCCGCTTGAAACAGGTTGAGATGAGCAATCGACCCTGACACGAATCCGAAACGTGGGGGCGTTTCACAAGCGGGCCGGTTGCACTGGAGGGCGCACGGTGACCAGGATCTGCAGAGTAAGGAGCAACATGGTGGCCGTCGGTCACTGGCAAGAGGCGGGAGGCCCAAACACACACCGCATCAAATGCACTGCTTTTTCCGGTTGTTGCATTTGATGCGGTGTTGGATCCCCCGTTTCTCATAGCGCCGGCTTACTCTGGAACGAAAAGACATCTTCATGGAGTGCGTATCTCGTTATCAATCAGGGTCCAGTATTTTTTTAAAACTTCTCAGGAGTCTCGGCAAGAGGACTCGATGGTTCAGATATTCTTGAAGAATGATGAACTTCGAGGCATCGCCCTCGGCCAGCGCCAGTTTTAATTCGTATGCATTCCGGTGCCCACCCATCAAAGGTAGCACCACAACAGGAAAGTCTTCGTGGAGTAATACAGAACTTACTCCCACTCAATAGTACGTCTTGACACCTGCTCTGGGAAAGTCGGCGGTTCGAATCCGCCCGAAGACATGAGTTTCGGCGACGCGTTTTTTTTTTGGTCTGCCGCCGATTCATCGTCGACTCATACTATAGAAGTGGGGACCAGAGCACGAAAGTCTTCGTGGAGTACGCAGCTCGCTCCCTTCCCATTAGGTGTAGTTACTTACGAGTCTGGGAAAGTTGGTGGTTCGAATCCGCCCGAGGACGTGGTATGGTTGTCTAAGCCTTTTTCCAATCCGGAATCACACTTACCCACTTGGAGGCGTGAGAAATGAAGCAAGGAAGTCCTCGTGGAGTATGCAACGCGCTCCCTTCCTGTTCGGAAGAGGTTTGATCACGAATGTGGGAGTGTCGGTGATTCGAATCCACTCGAGGACATGTCATAGTTGCCTAAGCCTTTTCCCATCCTGAATTGCAGCATTTTCGTCCATTTAGTGAGGTGAGCAATGGAGTATGAAAGTCATCGTGGAGTACATAACTCGCTCCCATTCAATATATGGATTTTCGAGAGCATCAGGGAGAGCCGGTGGTTGGAGTCCACCCGAAGACATGGAGTCGTCTCAACCCTCTTTTTTTTCGTCGCCGATAATTCATCGTCCACTCATAGAGGCGAGCATCAAAGTAGGAAAGTCTTCGTGGAGTACGCAACTCGCTCCCTCCGGTTGGCGTAGATGTGCATGCTTGTGATGGGAAAGTCGGTGGTTCGAATCCGCCCGAAGATATGATTCCCACCTGCCTCCCTTTTTTATATATCTGCAGCTGATTCATCTAAATTTGGGATTCACAGAGGTGAACAGTTTAGCAAGAAAGTCTTCATGGAGTACGCAACTCCCTTCCTGTCAGTTCTTCTACGCGAATCTGGGAGAGTCGGTGGTTCGAATCCGCCCGAAGACATGCAGCCGTCTCAACCCCCCCCCCCCTTTTTTTTATAGATAATTCATTACTCGTATCTTAAGCAGATGCCTCGTATCAGAGTGCATCTGTTTGTGCCGATCCGAGAATCCCCCATGCGTCGTTGATTTTCCCATACCGCCTCTTTCTGTGGTCTTCTTTTCTTGATCTAGCTTAAGCGCGATGGGCGCTTCAAGCCTCGTTCCCTTTCAACTTCGCCGATCAACCGCTCAACGTCCGTTGAAAAGGAAGATAGTCCCTCGACTCTCGTTGCTCCACTCCCCATCTTCCCTCCTCCAAAGTCCATCCCTCCTGCTCCCCCATACGATTGAACCGTTTGCCCGATTCATGCACGTTGCCTCGGTACGTGCCCTCTTTCCCTACAGCCTTGAGTTGTCAAGGGTCGTTGGACGCAGAAGCTACGTGGGACCAACGCAAACGCCGCTCCTCGACAGTAAGTACGCCAAGCGCAGTTGGCAACCTCGGACCTGTCTTTAATTCCCTTTGAGTCCCGAGCGCCGACTCCTGGTTGAGGCGGCATCCAGTGCAATTTTCCGGTGGCATCCGTCCTCGGAACGCCTTGCCGCGGCTTCATCTCCTTTTACTGCGCCCCGCGAACATCCAACTCCCCCACAATTCGAACACGACATAGATCACGATGCAGTGACACTCCAACGTCCGCGGCCAAGACCTTATTTGATCACTCGCTGGTTCGTTCTCTTGCCTCCATCTTCCCTTTTCTCAGTCGTTGTTATTCAACTGCACGGGTCAGTGGCGGCTTCCTTCCGCAAGCAAGAAGTGACCATCGAAGAACATAAACGCTCCCACGGGGTTGACCATTTGACAGCGCACTCCTTCTCGGCCTATCGAAGCTACATGCCCTATTCTTCATATATGTATGGAACTCATTCTGCATCGCTCTTTCCACAGGTCTCAACTTGACAGTTACCTCACCTTATCGTCTATCTGCTCAGTCATTCAGTTCCCGTATCTAGCACCGGCCGCCGCTCGGTAGGTCACGCACACAACCATGATACCGTTTATCGGGCGTACTGTGTACAACCATTCTTATTTGTTCTATTCATAGGGTTTTACCCCTCTCCGCTACCGGCCCTCCCATGGCTCTCTAAAAGTTTGATGTTTCAATGGATGCACTGCGACGCAAGGGGGTCCAAAGATAAGCATTGCCCATATGGGGTAGGGTAGGTAGGTTGGACCCCGACGGCCAGAAAAAAAAATTGTATGCAATTTTATTTCGGCCCAAGTTGAAGCCCTGGTCATCCTTCGGACCTGCAGCTATTCTTTCGATGTTGCTAATACTTCTACAGATGTTTACACGATATCCTAGGGGCTAGATCAGCCTGAGAGAAATGTTCGTCGTAGTATGGGACAAATGTGGGGACTAAACATATGCAAGTGCAGCAACTTTTCCTTTGGACCGCCTCTAGAATTCATTTGGGAAGGTCAGGACTACAGTCGGAAATTTCACAGCGGTAGTGGAGCTCCAAAACGGCGAGAAGGAGGTAAGTTTCGGGCTGAATGACTGGAATATCAGCTAATCCTAGCCCAGGGAAGTTGAACGAAGCTATATTTGGCCGTACTTAGCACAGGTTTATACCGTCCAGCTAACGTTGAGGTGTACTTCACACCAGCAGAGATTCCGGACTGAATAAGCACCAGCAAGAGGTGGAGGCTTATAGATAGTTCAACTACTAAGATGCTGGAAATTTGTTGCTGCAGGTGGTCGTGCCGCATGAGGAGCTCGAAGGCTTGCTTGGGGCGCCTTCCGGAGATACCCGTTCCCAAAAGGAAAGTTTCCCACGGTAGGTTGGTAGGTTGCCCGCCCAACGGGCTGACAAAAAAAAAATGTAGGTGATATCATTATTTCTTATCTTTGGACCCCCTTGCTGCGACGGCGGCGCGGAGGCCGGCTCCACCAAGCACTCGAAGTAAGCCTCATCCAATTTATTCGAGATCACATCGCTCCACGCGGTCACCACAGCGTCTCCCAACATCGTGGATTCCATCTCTGAGCGTCTACACAAGCTGCACGTACAAGATATGCCTCCATTCATTTTCCCAATCCCCAGTACCCAATACCTCACTCAGGATGGCGTCGCAGTCTCAGAGACTTCGGCCGCGCTCTACCCCACCTCCGAAGTGTGGGTTCGATGGTTCGGCTTCCAAGTTCCGCGGCACCCGGAGCAACATAACGATGGGAACAGATGATTTTCTACGGATTTGCGTCGTCGGTGAATCCCTCGCCTCTCATCGTCACATGGCTCAAAACGATAGCTAGCCTTCCGCTTCGCTTGCATTTTAGTACAATCTTCGGCCTTCTCGCGATGTGCACTCGGGCATCTCACGCTCGCCGCAATTCAATCAAGCTTAGTTCCCGAAGGGAGTTGGAGGTGCACACATCTATCACGTACGGTTGGACAACTTCTAACACAGTATCTCCCATTCTATTGTGCTACTTCTGTTCTATCGGACCCAAGTCCTCCGCAGCTCCAGCGGTCGAGGAATGTGCACTATCTCCTAATTGCTACTGCAGCGCTCACCTGATACTGTAGTGCAAGCGACTAGCTGTACTGTCCAGCAGAAGTCAAGCCAACACACTGGTTCTGTTCCCCTCCCGCTGCCCGCGTGCGCTATAAAGCCTCAGGCCGGTCGCTGCGGAGGTTCCATTCTCTCTCCGTCGTTTGTGCTTTTGCTCACTCTTGCGTGACTGGTACGACTCTATGATACACAACGATTAGTACAGATGTTGGCTCTCGGCTGGAACATCTTTCTGATTGATACATGTATTCTTTGAAGGCTTCCTTTGTCTGCCTAAACCAAGTTCGTTCGCTGCAGCTGGTAATTCACATATAGAACGATCAAATGAATGAATGGCCTGAGGGGCCGGAGCGTAGCGACGGCATGTCTTGTCTCGTACTATATAGAAGTGAGCAATGCGAGTGTACGTACTTATATTATGGGGATGCTTGGGATGGTGGTTTGAATCCTCCTGAAGACATTCTCGTGCTGCAGACTTTTTTTGTTAGCCGCCGATTCTTAGTCAACTCATAAAATAGGGTGTATCACAGTGGCCTGATTTCGCGGCTTTCGACCTACTTTGAGTGACCTGATGTGACTGTTGCTAGCGAAATTTACCGGTCGCTGATGTGCTTTTGATCTATCATTGTTCCGCTGCTTTCGTCGGGATCCCGACATGCCCGCCCGCTGTCTTTGGAATCCCGCCACATTCCAGACAAGGTGTAGGTTGGATGGAGTTAGGGGGAAAAATGAATAAATGAGTAAATGGGTCTGATAATCTACCAAGTGTGCCACATAGGATCGGTTTTTCATGCTGATATCGAGCTCGCTGTTGTGCACGACGAGCGGCGAACAGGGAGCAGCGTGCTTGATGGATGATAGATATTGAAATTCCGACGGGCCGTAGGTGCCGATTCGCTTGATTTCGCTGAGCGAGCAGAGTTGATTTCGTCACGCTTTATCACGCTTCCGTATGAAAACTGAATCGAAATCGAGGTCGAAATCCGCGAAATCAGGCCACTGTGATACACCCTAATATATAAGTGAGAACCAGAGTACGAAAGTCTTCGTGGAGTACAGAACTCGCTCGCTCTCAGTTCGAGTTTGTGCTGGGAAGTTGGTGGTTCGAATCCGCACGAAGACATGATTCCTTCAAAGCACTGTTTTTCTTTCTGAAGCTCATTCATCGCGACGCATGGAGGTGAGCACTAGAGTAAGGAAGTCTCCGTAGAGTACGCAACTCACTCCCTTCTTGTCAGTTCTTCTCACATGAATCTGGGAGAGTCGGTGGTTCGATTCCGCCCGAAGACATGCGTCTGGCATAAACTTCCTTTTTTTGTGCTGAAGTCCCTGTATGTACATCTATCAAAATCAGGAGGAACGCAAGGAAATTGCGTAGTGCCGAATTTAAACTCCCAGCATGGTGATGATTTTCAGATGGGATGGGATGGCCGGTCAGTGGAGGGGATCAATTCTGCCAGTCAATTTCTGTATCTGCTACACGTCCCAAAAGACATTTAAACAAACTACACTTAGATTGAACGACAGGCCTGGCTGGCCGTACTACCCACATGTGAGCTATCTCCCGCCTACAGAACGCA